GATCAGAAGGAAGCTCTGCGGCCGTAGCCAATGCGAAGCGCTTTCGGGCGCCCGCGCATGGCATACAGCGTGGGAAACGCGGGTAAGTACTTTTATGAGATTAACTCATGGGTGGGAACGGGGGTATTCCTAAAACCTAGATATGTGACTGCTCGACCGGCGATTTCAACGAGGTCAACGGTGTGCCTTACAACCTTATGGCACAGCGAGGTTGAATGGCTTGCGGGTTAGTTTTGTAATGGCAGTAGCCTCGCATTGCATCTATATCACTCTCTCCACTGCCACCCCGATCTGTCATCGGCGTCACGAACAAGACCGAAGGCAGAAGTATTTCTTCATTTAGTGGCTTTTTCGTAGTCAGCGCCACTAGAGGGCGGACGAGTTCGTCCTAAGAAAAAAATTGAATCGCCAGAGTAAGGAACGTCACGCATAATGATTAAACCACACTACTTAAATTATATAGTCTAATTTTCCCATTTACCCTTGCCTCAGGATTGCATCAGGGAAAGCACGAGCATCCTGGAGCTCAGTCAAGAGAACGTCAAGAATGCAGCACGGAGAAAGCAATCTTCTACCACCAGCACTGACGCTGTCATCAATGATCAGGAGTAAACTGAAGGTTATCATATGGAAGGGCGACGACCGCTGTCCAAGCTGCGCACAAGGTCCTCCATTGACACAATCCTGAGTCCTCCTCACTAATATAGACTATCTTGGATGCTTTTAAATACTGGAGAACGAGAATGCAAGCGAAAAAATAACAAATTTTTTCCACTTGGAACTTCGAAAATAAAATATAGGAAATTCACAATTTCGTGTGCCTGGTTTTTGTGTAAAAGGTACAAACCGGTTTCAGAATTCCAACTTATGCCATTAGCTCCTGGCTACAACAGATACATGAGGTTCATGTTACAGGATCAGCACATATTAACTGTGGAGGCCATACATTGGTCTGTTTACTGCCACAATAATGAGTATTAATGCTTAGACGGGGGCGGCTTACGATTGAGGAAGATGAAAGTAGAAGAGAAGAGACGTTTCAAGCAATCTTGATCGTGAAGAAAGGTATCTGAGATCTATGATTGTTGCGTGAGTGCCTTCTATCACAGGCGTTGTGAGGACAGATAATTTGACACTGGCAGACCAGTTCTCAATTGCAGATCACAGAGATTTTGCGTGTCGACACACAAGTCTGACCTACCATTGGCTGTGCAAACGACGAACACTTTACAGATTTTCAATTTTTACAGCGAATATTCAATGGCTCCTAAACAGAGTTATATAATACCACTATTTACATGAGCTTAGGCCCACTACAGTGATTCGGCAGAAGTTGCACGTGAAGCCTTATATCTACGTATACTTCTATCTGACGACACTAATAGGCCGATGTCTACGTTTTTGCCCCCGAAGACCCAATCAGAACCATCCTATAAGTCAAGGACGTCTCAGATGCGACCAAACACATTTCTGTGGATTGCGCACACGCCGCAATCCACTACCAGAGTCACTGAAATCAAAGGCCAAATAAACTTTCTAGTATGCTGCCGAACGTGGTGTGTTACATCCCGTGCCTAAACTGTTCTCATGTTGTATAGTCTGTTGCAAAAAGGTGCTGGGTCTCACTCTGTCGCTCTGAATGTGAATTTGTTGTGTTCGAAAATCGAATGCGACAGCAAGCGAACCCAGAGCGTCACAATTATCAGGCTTAGCGAGAGAAGGGACAAGACACACGAATGAAGAGCGCACGGCCCGCATACTTCCAAGTTGCTGTTTCTGGCAGCATTGACCGATGGCTACACCGGATAGTGTACCGAGAGTGAAATATGCATATAAAATCGAATATCGATTTCGATGAAGTCCACCAGGTGCACCAACAGGCTGGTACAAAAGGCGACAGTCTCAGGGGTAGATTTAAAGTGATAGAGGACTCAAAGGGGCACGGCGTAGGCTGCTTTCTCCAATACAAGCCGAAACACCGCCTAACTTAAACTTAAGTGACAATAGCCTTTTGTGCTGGTACTACTTTACTATCTACACTCACTCACCCTTAGTACGTGTGAAGAGGGGCTGAAGGAGATCGAGACCAACGTGGTTACTACAACTGACTATCACCGTAGCCGAGTCTTAGTAGTACTGGTACTATTTCCAACGCTAACATTTGTCAGAAGTGACCGAAAATAACCACAATCAGCGCATAATTGGAAGGCATGAAGAAAGATGCAAGACATGAATGCTCCTCTTCATCCAGTGCGAAGGCCCATAGTGTTACATATTTCGTATAAACTGAAAGGCAGGCATCCCAAGAAATGTAATTTCATAGAAAGGCGTCCTTTGGGAAATAAGTAACTTTATTGAGTAAGTTTTCGAAACTGGATCCCCAGTTCTCCGTCAGACTTGAGAGAAATTTGCCAAACAACAGTTAGCATTTCAAAGTGCTGATACAGTTATATAGTCATCTGGTGTGGGCGTTAATTGGGGGTAAACTCCGACGATGTGTGTTTTGTCCCATGCAAAAGTATGTCCTTGAGAATTCGTTGAGGACATGCACTCCGATGATTCATGCATCAACCGGCGTATCGAGTTAGCTGGAGTG